CTGCTGTACTTGAAGCTCTGGATGATTCCGATTCATCAATTCGTGAGCTGGCTCTCACTGTGATAGTTGAAATGCTGAAGAACCAGGTCTTCTCTATTTTGTGCACGTTTGTTAATTGGCTTAAATTAAACTTCTTTTGCATTCAGCGATTGTTCATCCATGTGAACTTAACCGTTTCATTTGTCCGTGTAACTGTGTCTGTGTTAATTAACAGAAGGATTCCATGGAAGATTCAGTTGAGATCGTAATTGAAAAGGTGCTACACGTGACTAAAGACAGTGTTCCAAAAGTAATTGTCTTTCCTAAAGCTATAGTTGCTTCTCCTTGCTGTTTTTCCTCTTTTTTCTTACATTCTTCTTTTTTTTGAACTCAGGTGTCCAGCGAAGCAGAACATTGCGTAAATACAGTCTTGTCTCAATACAATCCATTTAGATGCCTGAGTGTGAGTGTTATTAAATATTAGCACTTTATCGTTGTGATAAGACACTGTTTGAGTGTTTGTTTGTTCTAGTTTGGAATTCTCTTCCATCTTTTGTTGCGTTTTTAATCTTTACATTATTGAGTCACTCCCTAACATTTTACAGGTCATTGTTCCTTTTTTGGTTACTGATGACGAGAGAACTCTTGTCACCTGCATTAACTGTTTGACAAAGGTAATTAATTACCTCGAGGAATTATTGGTTATAATGAATTACTGTGGATTTTTTTGAAATAATATCTAGGGGACAAAATGGTAATCTATTGTCAGTCGTCTTCAATTTGGGAGTCTGCTTCAAATTTCTTGAAATTTGCAAAATCTGTTGGAATGGAAAATAAACTTGTTCCACAACTTTCACGACCTTTTTCTATCTGCAGCTTGTGGGTAAGCTCTCCCATGAGGAACTGATGGCTCAACTGCCCTCGTTTTTGCCTGCTCTGTTTGATGCATTTGGGAACCAGAGTGCAGATGTTCGCAAGGTAAATGATGGCTACAGAGTAGTTCTTAATTTTCGAAAAGATACCTATAAAATGCAAACTCAATACATCATCAAAACAACTATTCTTAAATCTTAAACTGGCATTTCTACTTTAGGTAAATATTTCGCTTGATAATAGTTTTACTCCCAAGCTGTAATGTTAATGCTTGACGTTCACACTTCACATTTCATTCTCCATTGAATTGCAGACTGTAGTTTTCTGTCTGGTTGACATTTACATTATGCTGGGGAAGGACTTTTTACCGTATTTGGAGGGTCTCAATAGTACACAACTTCGGCTGGTGACAATATACGCAAATAGGATATCACAGGCAAGGACTGGAACTCCTATTGATGCCACCCAATGATGAGCTTCTGGCTCTTCTGGTATGGAGTCTCATCACTTGGCATTGGTACTTAATTTTGATATTTAATAATTGTGTGTGTATAAATTTGTGTGATACCTCCTCCTAAGATTGGGTCAAGCCTTTTGTGTAGAGTTTTTTGGTTATGCACGCATAACTATGCATTGTGATTAGTGAACCGATGAGAAAGCGAACAAGATATTTGGTGTGTGGAGGAAACATTGAGAATGTGTGTATTTGTTTGCTTATAAAGAAATTTTTTCTCCACTGCTGAGATTTTACGCGGTTGTGAGTTTATCTTCGATAATGTATAAGAAAATTATGGAATTATTGTAGGGGTAAATAAGAAATATTATGGAATTAGGGTTTTTTTTTTTTTTTTTANAAATATCTAACTTATGATTATAATTGTGTATTACTTATTCTTTATTAATTCGGATTCGTGCATGAGCGCTGAGTTGATAACTAGTTGCTTTAAGGATGTTTTAGAGTGAACATGGTCATCAGAAAATGGGTTAATGCTCACACTTAGTTCGGTGGTTGACATGATTGCGGAAAATGAAGTTTTGAAATAGCACGACACTTATTGACATCTGTTGTGCAATCCATTCAAATAAGAATTTCCAACCAATTCGCTGTCTTTGATCATCACCGTATCGCAAACTTACTCAAATTCCTAACTTAGCACATCATAGACCAGACGATGCACAATAAGAGATTTTCTATAACTCATGTTTGTGGCCACCTATTTTTTCAGGCAATTTGTTCATGATATGTAAAACACGCAATCTATGTTTTGTGCTTGGAAACACGACTTCAATTGCATTTTTCATAGCTCGATCTTGATTGGTTACAATTTCATTTGGAGCTTCATCGTGCATACACTAAAGCAATGATCTGAAGTACCAGACAAACGTGCTTGTATCCTCAAATTAAACCAAGACACAACCAAGAAGAATATATTGTCCATGATGTTTTTAATCCAATGAAAGGAGTGAGGAATTTTATACTTGTTACTCAGGTAGGTGTCAAAAGGTATCACATCTCCGAAAAGGACATGGGAAAAATAGGGTTAACCCACCAACAGAGAGACAA